CCCCCCCCGAGCAGCCTCATCCTGAAATCGAGCGAGAGCTAGCACGCCTTCTGGATCACTCGTTAGTGTAGCTGAATAACCCAGACCCAAGAGAAAACGGGAGCACCCCGAGTTTCAAGTCGAAATATTTCCTTTTCCCGTGGAAAGGTGGGACCGACCGCCCGGAGGACCGGAACGCGGCGCGCAGGCCAAGCTGATGTCCCAGCCCGCTCCCGTCTGTCTCGCGCCGCTCCATCCGAAGCCGTGTTTCTTTGTGTGTGTGCGTGCGTTTGGTCCCTGTTAACCATCCCTGGATATTCTGGGCGCAATTAGGAGGACACCGCCGCTTCTTTTCCAGTCTCTGTCGTCATCTCGGTCTTCACACCCTCTCCGGCGTTGGGAGCTGGCAACTTTGAACAGTTCCCGAGATAACGCCCAGAGGATTTCACAAGAAAAGTCAGCTGCTTAAGACTAGTAAAATTAGCCAAACCTGCTTCTTTTCAGGTGCTCTGTCTGCGAGAAAAAGACTGCATTACCTAAGCATTGCAGCTTTTCTGACGTCTTTAGTAACAGGGTACCATTTTTTCACAGATGCTTTTTTTTTTTAATCATCATGGCCATACCCTCCCCGCTTCGTCCATCCTAAAGAAAAAACAAAAAAACACTGCATCAAATACTTGTGATATTCAGGCCAATAAGACTGGCAGTTTATTTTTTAAAGGGCCAGAGGGACCGAAAGAATTGACAGTCATTCTTATGGGTTAACCTGAAATCTGGAGATGTCTGAAACCCAAAGCAATGTGTGGAAATTCATCTCCCCGCCCCCCTCAAAGTCACGCACTGCATCTTGTGTTTCTCTAGCCTCACAGGTTTCTCAACTATTCCCGTCGTTGGGAGCATCACAGGAGGGTGGGGTGGCCTTGGTGGTGACCCTGCCCCTGCTGCAACCCCACACTTCGGCTGGAGGGCTTGGAATAATTTAGGTCCTTGCAATATTTTCAGGCAAATTAGGCGGGCACCTAGCATTTTAGAAAGAGAATGCATTTGGGAAATCTTTGCAAATTCAATATTTATGTACATTTTTCACTGAATAGCAAAAAATCAGGTTTAACTTCTTACTTAATATTTTACATGAAAACATTTTGGGCTTTTATTTTCCCGTTTCTCTTTGCCTTTGTTACAGAGACTCCTAAAATCTATCCTTGGGAATATACAAGTAAGCCGCATTCATATTCTTAAAGCATTTATTTTTTTTTTCAATTTTTTTAAAAAAATTAAGGTTACTTTTAGAATGAGAATTATGTGAGGGCTGTAAAATAATAGGATTTATTCTTACAGTGTGGTGATCTTAGAGGAAATGTAAGGTAAAATGTACTCTTTCAAATAACAAGTGTAATTTCTGTGCAAAGATGGCCATTTTGGGGGAAGATAAAGCTGGAGGAAGGGGGTTTGTTATTAGGCAAAGAGGACTGGGAATGATAAGTAGAGATGAGTGGGTGAGAGAAAGCCCTGTGATTCGAGGAGTCTTTCAGTAAACAGACATGGGGAGGGGGGCGTTGCTGGTGCGCACAGGAATGTGGAAGAGCAGATTTCGCCCTCCCTGCCATAGGCAAGGCAAGACAGTTTTCAGGGGGATTAACTAGACTGCTGTTTTGTAACATGGATCCACCCTGCACATTCAATGTTAGCTAATTTACTGAGGACTAGGATCGAGGAAAAGAAAATAAAATTAAATAACCTCTCGATGCTTTCTGTTTGTTTCTTAAATAAGTATATCATTTAAAAAAAATAAATGGGAACATGTTTGAGACCTGCACATTTCTCACAGGAAGAGTATTTACTCGTGAAAAATGGAGGTTTGCAACACCAGCAGTACTCAAGTATTTAGAAGAATTTTAGGCTACTGAAAACTGTGGCCTTCTCTAATGATACACCTCTTAGAAGTCTAATTTGGTAAAACAGAAATCTGTCTGCTATTTTTTTAAACCACTGAATTTACCTCAGGATCAGATGCACCTGTGTTCTCTTTTAATAGTGAATATGCATGTCCTATTTGTTTGTACATCCACCTATGTATGCACTTGTTTAGAAGTGAAGGATGCAATCTTCTTTCTAAGAATAAACATTGCTGGGTATATACTTAATGTTCAGAGACTTAAGATTTATTTTTGATCATCAGAGCTATAAATGACTATTTTCTGTGTTTATTGGATCTTTATTGAAAAATGTATAAGAACTGTTGTATAAGAGGGTAAGGTATGCTACAGAATCTCTCAACAAAAACGCAATTAGGATGAGTATGACATATTCCTCTTTCCTTTGAAGAAGAAACATTTTGCTAAGTAAATAACACACTAAAAATATCACCGCGTGAATACCCGATTCACTGAAAGGAACATGCCATTTTTAGACGTAGTCCTCTCCATGCGTGTCTCCACCGCTGACAGCGTGCTGTGCAGAACGGCTCTTCCCTTTTCTGCCTGGAGGTCCTGCTCTCCTAAGGTGAGTCCTTGGCCCTTCTGATTCATCTACATCAGACCTAAATCCTGAGTTTGGATCTGAATATCTTCCATTTACGGGGCCTCCCTTTTGTGTGTCCCTCAGCTATGGTGTGTGTGAGTGCACTAAGGCGCTCAGCCGTGTCCGAATCTGTGCAACCCCATGGACCGTAGCCCGCCAGCCTCCTCTGTCCCTGGGATTCTCCAGGCAAGGGTACTGGAGTGGGTTGCCATTTCCTCCTCCAGGGGATCTTACCAACCCAGGGATCAAAACCACATCTCTATGTCTCCTGCATTGGCAGGCGGGTTCTTTACCACTAGTGCCACCTGGGAAGCTGCATATAAATTGAACTCACCCTAATTTCCAGGCACATGCACACGCATGCACACACACACACACTCACAGTGCTCTTCACTGCTGATTTTCATATATTCCCTCCCTTGGTGAAACTTAACCACAACATCATGTTTAGTCGCTCAGTCGTATCCAACTCTTTGTGACCCTACGGACAGTAGCCCAACAGACTCCTCTGTCCATGGAATTCTCCAGGCAAGAATACTGGAGTAGGTAGCCATTCCCTTCTCCAGGAGAACTTCCCGACGGAGGGATCTAACCCAGGTCTCCTGCATTGCAGGCAGATTTTTTACCGTCTGAGCCACAAAGGAAGCCCCTAGTGGAATGTTGGTTACCAGGACATACACGTTCACTAAAATAGAATGTGGACACCATCTCAGAATCATTACTCGATACACTTACTTAAACACTGAGATCTTTATAAGGTGACGATTTCTGTCTCAAAAGAATTCCACAAGTCAGCATGATCAGACTCCCGCCTCCCTCTCAAAATCACCTCATTCTTCTCATGACGCTTTGCCTTGGCATTGTCCTACCCACCTGAAACTTTCCCATCACCAGATGTCTGCATGTGGAGCATTCACTGCATTCAGACCTCAGGTGCAGTGCCCCTCCTCCAGGAAACAGGCTGCCAAGGACTTGTCAATACCCTGCTTGGCCCATCACACCTCTAAAGTTAAAATTTTCTTGCATTCTCACTTGTTTATTCTCTGAATCACCCAGCCAGAGAGAATGCTCCATTAAAGCAGGAGCAGTCCCGGCCAGGTTGGCATAGGACGGGGACTCTGAAACTTACAAAACTCGATTTTACATCGTGGCCAGTACACACCCTACAGAAACCAAGGTGTCAATATCAAATATTGATGTCAAATCATTCTCTCTCCTTAGTATGTACAGTTCAGACTATTTCTTTAAGCAATGTTGGCTAAAACCCACTAAATTCATCTATTAGGGCCGTGCTTTTGGAAGTTAAAAAACACTGACTTTTTGAGAGCTAATGCGCAGAATATTCTGTCTTGGATGGAACATTCTGGTTCCAGCATCTTTTCTTAAACTGATGGATCTCATCATGTAGTTCCCTGAGTTTTATTTAATAATAGCAGAAGAATTATATAAACTGCTTTTGAAATTAATGTCTTTTTTATTCATCATAGGAGCTGTGTATTATTTTTAAAAAAAAACAAGACTCTCTTTTGAGAGCAGTTTTAGCTTTACAGCAAAATGGAGCGGAAAGTACAAAGGATTCCCCAATATTCTGTGTCTGCCCACATGCGCAGCCTCCCCTACTATGGACATCCCCCACCAGATAGTTAAAGTGATGGACCAGCCCTGACACACTACAGTCACCCAAAATACATAGTTTGCATTAGAGTTTGCTCTTGGAGTCATACTTCCTTAGGTTTTAACAAAGAGATAATGACATGTATCCATATTACAGTATCTTGCAGATGTTTCACTGTAAAAACCTTTCTCGTTCTCCTCCCTCCAGCCCCCAGCAACTGCTGTCTTTTTACTGTCTTCATAGTTTTTGTTTTCCAGAATATGTTATAATTGGAATCATATGGTATGTAACCATTTCCATTTCAGAATGCATTCTTTCACACAGGGGCAGGCATATAAAGTTCCTCCATGTCTTTTCATGACTTGACAGCTTATTCCTTTTTCTCGGTGACTAGTATTTCATTGTATGAATGTACCACAGTGTATTTATCCATTCACTTACTTAAGGTTATCTTGGTTGCTTCCAAGTTTTTGTAATTATGACTAAAACTGATATAAAAATTCATAGGGGCTTCCCTGGTAGCTCAGTGGGAAAGAATCTGCCTGCAATGCAAGAGATGAAGGAGATGCGCGTTCAGTCCCTGGGTGGGGAAGATCTCCCAGAGGAGAGCAATATTCTTGCCTGAAGAATCCCATGGACAGAGGAGCCTGGCAGGCTACAGTCCATAGGGTTGCAGAGAGTCAGACACAAATGAAGCAACTTAGCAAGCTTGCACACAAAAGTTTACAGAGAGGTTTGTGTGGACATAAGTCTTT